ACACGGGCCGAGAGATTTCACCCTTCCTCGGTCATCCATCGGTGTAATGTGCCCGCGAACCCGACATATAATTCACATTGCATAATCCATAACGCGTAATGCGATGATGATGATGATGATGATGATGATAACAATGCCACGCCTCACCGTAAGTGCCCTCACACTCACCTGCCAGTGAAGATGTCCTCGCCGCAGTTCCCCAGCAGCAGCTCCAGCACCTCAGTGGGCACCCCCCTGAAGCCCTTGCCCACCACATAGACCTCCGAGTTAGCGGGCTTGCTGGTGGCGGGCTTGTAAACCAGCACCTTGTCGAATAGGCAGCCCTGCAGAGAGGAGCGTGGGGGGGGCGTGGGGGGGGGAAAGATGGCGCGGGTAATGGTTACATGGCGGCCGAACTGGCGCGGTTCCCGGTAAAGGGGGGGGGGAGAGCTGTGAGTAACCGACGTAGAGATGCAGGGTATGGGCGGGAATGACGTGTAGAACTGAAGGCGGCAAAGAAGAAAGGGTTTCGGAAAGTGTAATAATTGGGAAGTCATCGCTGACGTGGCGGCGAATGTGGTTAAGTACATTTTTGCTGATGTTTTGCTGCTGGCAAGCTGCTAGCTGACATGCATGCATGTGTTCCTCCCAGCCACCCCTCCCAGCTAGCACACTTAGGGTTAGCCCCTGGCCCAACCCAACCCGGCTAGCTCGCCCACGCCGATGTAGCAGGACGCAACAAACGACAAAGCTCTCGGAACCGCCCGGACCCACCTGGCCAGGCGGCACAAGCGGCAGAGGCGGCGGGCAGAGGCACCGGCAGCGGGCAAAGGGCATGCAAAAGAAAGGAAAACGAATTGTGAGCAGCAAGAAAACGAACAGGTTTAAAAGGAATGTGAAGTGCTGCTGAATGGAAAAAGAGGAGGACTTATTTTTAAGGAAGGTGACAGTAGCACAGAAAAAATGCCTTAAGAACAAAGCCGAATGACAAAGAAAGCGTGGTCGTATCCCCTGGGAGGGCCGTGGCGAGGTGAGACGGAGAGGGAGGGAAGCGAGTGAGTGAGGGAGAGAGGCGCACCTGAGATTCCACATTCATGCTTATTTCGAACATCCCTATCGCAACCACCAGTGTCGTTTCAGACAGCAACCCAGGCCAACCCCTACATCCCCCTTCCCCTTTCCACCAACTACTACCTCACCTAAACAGCCTGCCTCCGCTCCCCCCCCC